TTGGGCGCGGCTGTGCCGCTGCTTGGCCCGTCTTGCCTGGAAGGCGAGAGCTGGTGCTGGCTGCCGGGTGCCCTGCTCAGCACCTGCAACACCCTTTGCCACCCCACACATGCAGGGCTGGGGGCTGGAAGACCCCCGAAGCCAGGCCTGGCTCAGGCTAGGCAGGCAGGAGCTGTCTGCAGGCTCACCTCCATCATACCAGCTCTGAGTCACTGCACACCTCTCTGCCCAGACCCTCCAGTCAGACTGGTCCACCCTTAGCCCACAGAACACCCAGATAACTGGAAACAGCAACTGGCTTCCTGCCCACAGCCTGCTCCCGGGGTACGGCATGGGCAAGGAGGCAGTTCCAGCCACAGGGTCTGTCCTGCTCAGCTGCTGCTCGGGCTGCTCCCCAGCCTGCCACTGGCACCTTTTTGCAGGAGATGTTGGTCCGTCTTCCTGCGTGGTGGGTCCAACCAAGAGAGCTCTCCTGGAGCATCGGCAGAGCTCAGCAGTTCCTGCTGTACAGGGCAGCTCAGCTGCTTGGACCTGCAAGGCCGGCGTCTGCTGCAGCGTGGGTCTTGCTGCAGGCTGGGTGTTCGCCGGGGGTCTCGGTCACCCGGGTCACAGCTGGGTGCCCAGCAGGTGTGTGCATAGCTGACACCTCTCTGGCTTTCAGTGCGACTGCAGCTGGTTCCTCTTCCTCTTCTGCGTCTTCCTCTTCACACTGGTGTGGCTGTACTTCGCCATGGTCATCCTCAATGATTTCCACAACTTCAATGAGTGAGTAGCACCCCGTATCCAGCCCTGCTCCCCATGTCTCCCTTACCCCTCTGATCATCCCCTTTGCTTGCAGGTTCATCTACAAACACAAGAAGCTGTGGCTCGACTGGTCCCTGGTCCTGCTCATAGCAACAGCAGTGCTGATCACCTACTCGGCTGTGCTGCTGGTGAGCCCTGCTGATCCCGCCTGGGCTGGCAGGGGTGTGGAGCAGCACTGAGCACGAGCTGGCCTCCGTGCCCTGTGCAGAGACAGCAGAGCCAGCAGCGTCCAACCTGCTGGAGCTGCGCCAGCCAGGCCTGAGCGTGGCCTTGGATCCCGCCTGTGACAAGAGGGCTACAGCTCCCATGGGAGGACTGGGTCCTGTGCCCTCGGAGGGCTGAGGTGTGGGGTGCAGCCCAGCTCTGACCTCTCCTTGTTCTTCCTGCAGGTCCTTGCTTTGTGCTTGCAGCTCTGCGGACAGCCCTTGAAGCTGCACTGGGTGCACAAGGTGAGAGGCTGGGGGTGCAGGGAGGTGCTGCCTGCCCTGGCTGTGAGTGCAGCGGGCATGCGCTTGTAGCTCCAGTGCTTCCGTCTCTCCTGCTGCACCCTGTTCCTTGGCAGCCTCCAGGGATCCTGCTCCTCGTGCGTTGGGAAGCTGAGGCCAGCCTGCTGGGACTGTGCATGGGTTCAATGTGTCCCTGCTGAGCTGCGCTGCAGCTGCTGGTCCCCTGGCCACGTGGCTCTGTGATGGGCATCTTCTTGCTCAATGCGTGTGGTAGAGTTTGACTGCAAAACACAGTGGGGGAAATTGGGTCTTGGGACTGCAGGGAGCTCAGGAGGGGGGACTCAGGGGGCCAGGAGTCTGCCTGCCCTGTAAGGAGAGCTGGCTGCAGTCAGTGCCCAGCTGGCCTGCAGGTTGCCCTTACGTACCCCTAACTGCCTTGTGCCCTGCCCCACAGAGCCTGCTGATCTTAACCGCCCTCGTGGTGGCTGCAGCCTTCACAGGGCTGGGAATAAAGTGGGCGGAAGAGTGGAGAAGTGCACGCATCTCCCTGCAGGTGAGTCACCTCGATACCAGAGACTCTCCCGCTGTACCTATCACCTGGCCTGTGGGGACAAGACGCGGGGTGGTGACTGGGACCCTGTCATGGCTAACTCCTTACCCCAGCTCGGACTGTCTGGCTTCTGCTGCCTGGCCAGGCAAGGTGCCCCTCTGGCCCTTGCAGTCCTGCCTGGGGCTGCTGCAGTTGGGGTGAGAAGCAGTGGCTGGACTGGAGCGGGGAGCCTGTTCAGCCCCTCCTGGGATCCCGTCCTTCCCTCCCTGACACTGTGGCTCTTCCACTGATGCTTGCCGCAGTGATGCCTCCCTGGTCACGGAGGATGTGGATAGTGGGGATGGGGTCGGGCTGGCGCTGGCTGATGCTGCCTTTGCCTCCCCAGGCAACGGGTCCCTTCCTGCACATTGGCATCGTGGGGGGAATGACGCTCCTTGCCTGGCCGCTGGCCAGCTTCATCTACCGCAGCTGCAGCACAGGTACCCCACAAGGTCTCCACCCCCACCCCCACACTGGGTACCCAGGTTCCTGCCACCCAGCCTAGAGGCGCTGGCAGTACCGGGGCGGTGGTGTGCAGAGAGGCTGGGTGCAGTGGGAACAGGTCTCAGGGCTCACAGCCCGGCAGTAATGACATTGCACCTGCTCTTACTTGTCGTTCCTCATACCTAGCTCTTGCTGCTAGGTTTCAGCCCTGACTGCTTTGCAGCTGGAAGAGCTGGCCCTGGGGTGGGGTGCAAGGACATGCAGTGGGCCAAGAAAGGATCTGCAGTGCTCTTGAGGCAGGGGATGCAATGCCTGATATAGGGCTGCCCACAGGTTAATGCCAGGGGAAGCAGCCCTGGCTTATTCCTAATGATCTGCAGAATGCTTCCCCTGTGCCTCACCCCCTCTTGCTTCTCCATGTCTGCCCGCAGGTCTCAAGGTGTTTCTGCTGCTCGTCTACTGTGCAGTGATGATTGCTCTGTATCTGGCTCCCCTGGCGATTACCTCCCCCTGCCTCATGGAGGAGAACCAGCTGCCCCCCAAGCCAGCCCTGGTGGGCCACCGAGGGGCCCCCATGGTGAGTGACCGGCACCTGCAGCATCCTGGCAGAGCGGTCGGGGTGGAGGAAGGCCAGCTGCTCAGCCAGCACAGGCCAGGCTGTCCCTGGCTGTGGGGCACTGGCACCAGATCCTTCCTGGTGCACGCTTGGCCAAACCCCTGGCCAGCCCAGCAGAGAGGGGTCCCCACACCAGCCTGGCCAGCAGTGGGCTGGAGGACGTGAGGATTAGGAGGTTGGGCACAGCAGCCCTCAGGGCTGAGCTCTGCCGAACTCAAGAGCACGTGGTTCCTGCAGGAAGCCTGGTTGCACAGCGAGGGCTGGGAAGCAGGGGCTAGACGTGCTGTGGCTGTCTGCACCCAGCCCTGCCAGCCTTCCTCAATCCCACACCGTACCAGGGTCACCCTAGTCTCATTGTGGGTGCCCTAGGGCCCAGCCAAGATGTTGGGTGCTGTCTGCAGCTAGGTGGGATTAGTGCCTGCCTCCTGCCCCTTCCAGCCTGTGCCCTCTGCACTGACACCACTACCTTTCCAGCTGGCGCCCGAGAACACCCTCATGTCGCTGCACAAGGCGGTGGGCTGTGATGTGCAAGTCTTTGAGACAGACGTCATGGTGAGGTAAAGGGGCAGCAGGGACTCGGAGGGAAAGGGTGCATGTATCCGGGGACATCACTTACTCATGGGGACAAGTTGGAAAGAGAGCCTGCATTTGGAGACAGCCCTGCTCACAGGGCTCTTCCATTCCCACCTTTCCTGTATGGGTCTGACTAGAATCCAGTGCTGTAGTGACCTGGGAGAGGTGTTGGGTTTCTCCCCTCTCCATCCATGTTACCCTCCAGTGCATTAGGAGGGAGGCACTGGAAAGGGAAGGACGCTACTGCCAGAGCAGACCCTGGGCTGTAACTCATCTCTTGCAATCCCGCAAGTGTTGCAGTGAGCAAATAACCGCTTGCTTCATGGCTTAGTCTCTAAGTGCTCTGTGCTTTCTAGACACTCAAGCCTTTGTGCAAAGGTCCAAAAGTAGGCATGGGGGGAGCACCCTCCTCAAGATACTAGGGCCTAGAGTGGCTATGGCAGGGTTAGGAAACAAGCAACCTGCAACAGAGATGCTGGGTCTCTGCTTCTTTGGCAGTGCTGACGGGGTCCCGTTCCTCATGCATGACGAGAAACTCACCAGGACCACCAACGTGCAGGCTGTGTTCCCCGAGAGGGCCTCGCTCAACAGCACTGCCTTCAACTGGACAGACCTGCAGCAGCTGGATGCTGGCAGCTGGTTCCTGGAGGTCAGGGAGCCCCTGAGGTGGCTGGTCAGGGATGGATGCGTTTGTGGGTGAAGTGGAAGCCCTGCCCTGGGGAATGTTCCCTCTGCAGCGCTGGTCTTGGCAGACACCTGGGCAAGGTGCAGAAACGCTTCCACGCCTGCACGAATCCCTTGGGTATGGTTACACCCCAAAGCTGGCTGCTGCAGCTGGGGTTTGTTCTGACTCCTCGGCTGAGTCACGGAGGAGGCAGGTTTGAGGGGAGATGTCTCATGCATTCAGCCAGAGTTTGCTCTGAGCACAGCCTGCCTGGGCTTGGAAGGAGGCTGTGGCAACTCTGTTCACAAAAGGTGACTAATGAACTGCTGAGCTGCTCTGAATGCCCACAGGTGCTGGGGCTGCTTGAACAGCGCTGTTAGTGGGGAGAAGGGGAGATGTGCCCTGTAGATGTGCAGGGGAAGGATCTCCGTGCCTCTCTGCACTGGAAAATGTGTGGAGAGTCCAGTGTGGGAGACTGGAGAGCCGGGGTCAGGCTCCAGTTTGGAAACTGGGAGCTTGCAAACTCTGCCTGTGATGGCTGACTCTCCCTCACTCTTGCAGCGGAGGCCCTTTCCCACTGTGCAGAGTCTTTCTGTTGGTGACCGCAACCAGGCGAGTAAGCAGAAGATCCCATCCCTGGAACAGGTGCTGGAAGCAGCCAAGCAGAGCAATATCTCCATCATGTTTGACCTCCGGCCTGAGAATCACACCGATTACCAGAGCTTTGTCAATGCCACACTGGACACAATCTTGCAGTCAGGCATCCCGTTACAGCAGGTAAGCTGGCCACTGGCCTGCCACTGCTGGGCCCTGCTGCCACCTTCTGAGCATCCCTCTTACCCTAAATACCCCTCTCATACATGCTCCCTGTGGGGCACTCTGTCACACAAGAGATCCTGGAACAGCTATTAGCCAGTCTTGGACTCTGTGGCTTTGCAGCATCTCCTGGATCATGGGGGTCTGTAGCCAGAAGTTGCCTGTAGTTCAGGGTTAATGCCTAAAGCTTCAGACTCCTCCAAATACTCTGGTTCCCTAGGCTTAACACCCTGATGTGTAAACAGTGACTCAGAATAGGGAGGGTGAGAACAGTGCTACTGAGAGCAGGAAAACAATGCTGAGGTTTCCACCTCCCGCATTGTGCCACACTTGACTCTTGCTACAGCTTCCTGCGTTTCCTTTGCACTTCATCCAACCTCTGCAGCATGAGACACGTGGTGCCCTGAGGGAATGAGTTAGCACCCAAAGTACTTTCCCTCTTGGATCTTTGGGAATCGCAGGCAGGAGGGGATATTGCAAAGGTGTGTGCCCTACTGCTGATCCAAGGTGTGTTCTAGCTGCAGAACTGGAGGCAGATAGATGCTCTGATAGATCCGCGTAAGGATCCTGAAAGGACGTAACTGTCCTACTGCAACTTTCTTAGGCTGGAACTGCTTTTGCCCCTAAGAGAGGTCTGTTGTGTTTATGTCCTGGCTGGGACAAGTCCTTAGACTGTCCTGTCTGAGATCCTCATGGAAGAGCTGAGCAGACACATGGAGAGGGGGTAGCAAGCAGCTATCTGAGCAGGCATGTACCTGGACCTGCAAGGAAACATCTGGGCCAGAACAAACCTCTGATGGATAGTCTGTTCTCTGGCTCTTGCGTAGATCCTCTGGCTGCCAGATGGGTTCAGGGAACAGGTCAAGCAGCAAGTCCCAGGCGTTCAGCAAGTTTATGGCCGGAAGAGACTCCGGAATGAGAAGGAGCCACTGCTGCATGTTAATCTGCCCTACCAAGACATGAGCTCTGAGGAGATCAGGTGAGAGAGCACTGTGTCTAGGAGCCTGGGAGCAGTGGACAGTGAGGCCTGGGCACTGTCCCCGCTCTGTCCTAGTGTCCAGCAGAGGTGAGCAGCCAAGGCATGAGCACTGATAGAGTGTGGGGAAGAGCAAGGGATAGGCTACAGCCTAGTGGACAAGCATGCCTCGTCGGGCAGGGCTGGTGCAAGGGATGGAGCTGGCCGCAGTCCTTAGCGTTGCCAGCAAATCTGCCCTGGGTCTGGCTCTCCAGCAGCTGCTCCACGTAGCTGCAAGAGCTGGATCGCATCCCAGACATACAGGCCTCTGCTGCTGCAAGCTAAGTGTGCTGGCACCCTGCTGTCTGCTGTTCTGACCGCAACTGTCCCTCTGCAGGCAGTACCGTCGGGACAACGTTTCCGTCAACTTGTACGTGGTAAACCAGCCCTGGCTCTTTTCTGTGCTGTGGTGTGCTGGGGTGAGCTCTGTCACGACCAACGCTTGCCAGGTGCTGAAGGAGATGAAGCACCCCATCTGGCTGCTCGTAAGTGAAACCTCAATCCTTCACAGGCCTTGCAATGTTACTCTGGCTTGTCACAGTCCTGTACCCAGGCAGTTGTGGGTCTCCTTCTGCAGTGGCCCTTGGTAGCTCTCCGGAGGGTGGGTTTTGCTCAGCACTGAGCGGGGAGGCGTTGGCATGGGAATGTGTGGCCCTGCACAGGGCAGCTGGCAGAGCAGGCTGGGTTGTGCCACCAGCACACTAGACCCTGGCTAGTGTTCATCGCCTGTCTTGTTGCCCTGCAGCCCAGCAGCACATACCTCATGATCTGGATTGTTGCAGACTGTGTCTCCTTCCTTATGATCCTCTGGGCCTTCCTCCTGGTGAAGTAAGTTTGATGTCTTCACCTCTCCTGGGGCAGATCTGTTAGGGGAGGCTGCAGTGTGCCCTGGTGTTTGGTGTGCACCCAGACCTAGTGGTACCAGCTGCTGCTGCCCATCTCTGGACTCAGATCCTACGAGTCCTCTCCTGTCCAACTGTTAAGTGAGGTAGGAGTATATGAAGGGAGCTTTTATCACAAGGCTGCAGCTAAAAATCTGGTCTGAGCCCTCCTCAAGCTGCTGGATGCCTTAGGCTGCACTCACTAGCTTGCTCTGCACCCCACGACTCGATGCGTTGGGGTTGGAGGATGCTGGGCTGTGACCCATTGCTCCCTCACCAGTGCCACTAGGTACTGAGAGCAGCTTCTCGGGGGGGCTAGGTGTCCTGTAGGGGCCCAGGGCTGGCGGGGAGCGGACTGACCTGCTAACATTGATCCTATTCCATCTCCTAGGAAATGCTCCAAGAGAAGACAGCCAGCAGGTAACAACACATGGACGTGAGCTGCCCCCTGCCTGCAGAGCCAGCTCTGCTAGGCTGTGCCTGCAGTGCTCTCCCTGCCCCACTGGCAGGCAGCTTTCTCCTGCGGAACAGGACAGAGCTGTTTGGGATGGCTGGGAGAGGGAAGGGAATCCCAGCCCAGGGAGCTCCTGTCGAGCCCTTAGCAAACATCCCTGTGGGACAGCGCTGGGGAATCCCACGCTCCCCCGGCCTCCTCAGACCTGCTTTTCAGGCTGCTCCGCCTGCCGCAGCGGGAGAGCGGCTGCCTGCAATGACTGTATTCTCTCTCTCTGCTCTCCCCAGAGTCTGAGACAGACGTGCTGCTCACGAAGATTAACAGCCTGATGCAAGAGTGACCCCTCGGGCCTGCATCAGCCGTGGGGATGGGCAGCTGGAGACATGCCCAGCTCGAGTGGGGAGTGCTCTTCTGGCCAGCTTCAAGGCTCCTTTCCTTTGCAGACTCCTTCTGAGCTTCCAGTTCCTCATAGCCCTCCTGGTTCCTAGCGCAGTGCAGAAGTGGCCTGGAGCTGGGCTCCTTGTTCCCTCTAGCAGAGTTGGGACAGTGCCCATGCAGGGATTTCCTGGTGCTGGCTTGTGCCCCGGGGTTTGAGCATTTGTTCAGCAGTGCTGGGGCCAGAACCTCAGCCCTGGGGTGCTGCTTTGAAGGCTAGTGGGGATTTTAGTCCCTGTGTTGTGCAGGGGTATGGCAGTCTCTGCCTGTCACCAGCAGCTGTGCAGCCAGTTCCTGGGGAGGTGATGACCTCTTCACCAGGAAACATTTAATGTGCTGCTGCCCAGGGGCTTGGACTGCTCTGTGGCATGGGGAATAGGAAGGGAGCTGCAAGGGAAGGGGCTTTTTAGAAGACAAATAGGGATGGAGAGGGAGCAGAGCCCCTCCAAACGTAGTGCTGGGCACAGGAGTCCTGCTCTTACTGCTGGCTTCATGCTTGTAGGTCAGGGTGCCAGCACCCAACCCAGCTGGTGGAAGAGGGAGCTGGGGCTGTGTTTGGAGAGAGTCTGTCCTGGGGCAGAAAGCACGTCTTGGGGCACATCCCTGGCTGGGCCACGGTCACGCTCCTGCCGCTTCTGGGGCACAAGGGAAGGGAGCAGTGTTGCGCTCCGGCACTTTGCGGCAGGGCCTCGCACTCGGAGAGGGCAGTCCGTTTTACTCGTTCCTTGCTATTTATGTCAATAAATCAACCGAGACGTAGACAGACCCCCCCAAAGGGCTGAGTTTGGGATAAAAGTTCCCTCCTCCGCTTCCAGCTCCCGGGCACCC